TTTTGATATCTTTGAGTTTTTTTTTGGACGTTTGAGACTTTTTTTGGAAAGATAGCAACTTTTAGGAATAGCCCTGTTAGGAGTAGCCCAGGTCTCTTTAATGAAATATAGGCTAGGTGGTTTCCTTTCATACTTGGCCAACTGATATTCTTGTTTGTGGAGTTTGTGACTCTTGAGGCTTCGAATTTGACTATGCTTCCTCTAATGTTGGGGTCATATACCCCAAAATTATAGAAACTCACCACAAGGAACATGATTTTCTAAAGTATGGTCTGGCATTTAGTTCCAAACCTTGAGAGAACCCAATTACTGATTGACGTGACACATCTTGGATACCTTGGAAAACATATAACAGGTTTTGATATGATCAGCTGGACACCTCATTTCCCGATTTATTCCCATCCCTCCGATATTATCACCTCCATTCTATGGTCCAGAAGTGCTTTCTTCCTCTACATCCTGAATGGTTTCCAGGTAGTGTTGAAGGGCTGAACGGAGGAAACGGGTTCATTCTAGTTGGAAAGTTGGTTAAAAACAATTTATGGAATGATAACCCCATGGAAATAACCATTAATTTATAATCATTTACTGTAATATACCCATGATTTTCCCATTCAAATCACCTTTTTCATCGGTCTCTTCCCATGGTTGGCGCCGAGGAGCATGTTTCCGCCATTCCTACTCCTCTTGGCCACGGCCGCTCTTGGCCGCGAGCACCTCGAGGACGGTCGCCGGCAGCGCCCGGCAGAGTTCGCTCTTTTTGGAGAGCAGCCGTGGGTGTAGAGCTGTGCAGAGTTATGGCCTGAAATACCAGTTATAAGATGTTATAAGTCAGTTGTAACTTTGAAACCATTTATGGACCTATGGATGATTATGGATGTGATACCCCAGTTATCACAATTGATAACTGGTGAAGGACATTAACTGTATAACTCCAATAGCTACAGTAGGGATTAAGTTAGGATTGTGGCAGGTAGAATTTTTTGGAGGCCCTAAAAATAGAAAGGGTGCGTTTCAATGATTGGATTTTACTGTTCGGAGTCTTTTGGGGGTGATATGTAGTGAATGGATGTGAATGGGAGTTATAAACCAACTTACAATTGCAGCACGGAAAAATTTAGCACATCCAGCAGGATTTTCCATCGTCGTTTGCGATTCTAACGTGGCGGGCTGCACTTGAGAACCAAGATGTTTGCAGTCAGCCTCAAATACAATCTGACACTGTGTTTTTCTGGGTAATTAAACCACAAGGATAGTCGGGTAGTTGGACCACGGCTCATAGACGGCCGTGCTGGGGTGGAGTTTTTTGGTGCGGGCGGCTCTAGGAGCGCGCGCACGTTGCACTATTTTGCATTGTTTTTTCTTTGGGGGTTGTTTTTTTTTCGGGGAGGGGGTTTGGAGGGGGTTCGGGGGCGGATAATAACGTTCTTGGCTGGCCGTCTTACAAGATATTCTCTTGGACTTGCTGCTACCCTATCCACTCTTCTCTTGCACTGTACCTTGCCACACGCTATCAACTTCTTTTTTTAACTTGCAAGACGCTCTTGATTTTTGCATTGTTGTTTCTTGTTTTTTTTTTTAGGGGGGGTGGGGGGGGCTAATAACGTTCTTGGCTGGCCGTCTTACAAGATATTCTCTTGGACTTGCTGCTACGCTATCCACTCTTCTCTTGCACTGTCTGTACCTTAAAAATTGCAGACATACGAAAAGAAAGATGGCCATCACAAAATGAGCCAAGGTGTGCAATCAATGATCCAGCGATGGATGTGGCGTCAAACAATTTTGCCGTGTTCTCCCAAAGAATTGATGTCACACCTTGTCGATCCAATGAAGAAACATCATGACTTTCAATAACGGCTTCATCCACTGAAACAAATAGTTTGGGTGCTTTGCAAAACAACTAAAAAACATGTATTTCCCCATGTAATTACGAGATGAAGCCGCTTTAACCAATGGCACGTCTGCTTGAAAAGTCCAAAATGGACTTGGATGCTCGGACCACTGTAAATCAGCAGAAAAACAAAAAACAAGAATTGATGGTGTGTTGATTTCCTCACGGCCGCCTGTGAGCCGTGTACCTAGTTTTATACAATATAATACAATTTATCGATTTAGATGGAAATATATTCATGTTTACAGTTAAGGCCCGAAATACCACACCCCATTTATAGAATGTTTTTTTATCCCATATTTATAACCAGTTAGTTCTAATAGCCATGGCCATTTTTCTGTAAGGACCAACCAGCTAACACCTTAACAAATCGTCCCCTGCCATGAGTTGGGCCATTGGGGGTTGGAAGACTAGGATCTATGTTAGTTTTACAATGTGGGTCCTTCCAGGTACCCATAGGATCCATGGTGCTGCTATATATGGTAACATGGATCCCATCAATATACCCCCAATGTTAGCATATATACCATACATGGATCCTATGGGTTTAGTTGTAGGTACCGTAAACCATCGTGAAATTGGAGTTATGTGAGCCCCAACTTGGCTATCGTAAACGGGGGGGCCACTTTGTAGCTGTGCGGAGTTATGGCCCGGAAGACCAGTTGTAAATTATAAGTCAGTTGTAACTTAGAAACCCATTTATGGATGTGATACCCCCGTTATAACTACAGTAGTCATAACCATTAAGTGGTAAAGGACCATGTTTTTTGTTTCCTCCGGGGGGTTATGACATAGGTCCTGTCCTTTCCACTTTGGCAAAGCTCAGACAAGCGGGCTGTTTACGATAGCTGAGTTGTGGGCCACATAACTCCAATTTCACTATGGTTTATGGTACTTATAACATCTTATAACTATAGTTTCTAGGGTTTATAAACCAACTTATAACTGGGGGGGCCAGATTGTAGTTTCATTCTCATTAACATACTCGTTGTTCAGCTGTTCCACGATGGAATCATGTGGAGTTGCAATGGGAATTGATCGCATTTAGTTTTTTCGCAGACAAATGCTTGAGACCATGCCCACATAATTCACTCAAGAGGAACGATACTCAAACCATTCAAAAAAGACAAAAAACATATTTAAGAATCATGGGTACTTAGGTAGGCCAGAAAAGTTGAGGTGATTTCATGTCAGAATTGAAACCAGACACATTGCGAAAATCACGGTAGAAATTCATGCACAGTTGGAGGGATGGTAAAATCTTCTTACTCGTGCTTAGCAGGGAATGAGGGAATGATCCACAATAACACTTGATAATCATCCCATTCCCCCATTCCCATCTATTCCCTACGTTTCGCACCAGTAAGTCTTTAAAATCATCCCAATTATTTGGTGGCTTCTCCCAGTTAGAAACTGCTTGGCAAACCTGGTAAGTCCTGGATGCGTGGATCATTGGGATGATCTTCCAGCTCTTGGATCTCCAAGGTTTACCCTCTGGGAAACTGCCACATCATAACTATGGAAAATCACAATTTTTCATGGGAAAACTAACTATAAATGGTGATTTTCCAGTTCGTTGTGTGGCAGTTTACCAGGCCGGGTATCCCAATGAATTCGAATGTGACCTGGTCCGAATGATCCACATTTGGAACATTTGGGCATTGTATATGATACTGCTTGGTGGTTTGGAACATTGTTTTTTTTACATAATATATGGCATAATCCTTCCCATTGACTTTCATATTTTTCAAGATGGTTAAAAGCACCAACCAGGATAATATGAGGAAAGATTGGCAATTGTGAACGGGATTCCCACAGATTTAGGGTGATGTTCCCAAGATATCACCAACACATCTCTGGGAATCAGCAAAATGCAAAAAAATAACGCCCATGTTTAACATTGCAATATCACCAAAAATTGAATGATTTCCCACTGCTGAATTCTAGATGATTTATAAAGTTCCCACGCAAACAAACAGGATCAAACAGGGTTGCTCCAAGCGATTGTAGCCAATTGTAGCTAAATCATTGCTGGAAGGGAAAGCAAGTGTGCTTTTACTCTTTTTGTTTCTCTCTCTCTCTCGCTCTCTTTCTCAAGATCATTTATCAGAAAAATAACATATATATATATTTACAGTATATATATATATATATATATTTACAGTATATATATACAGTATAAATATATATGTATATATACACATTAAATATATATATACACTCATATGTCTAGCCAATGTGCCCTCCTTGTACCTGGGGTGTTGGGAGCAACCCTGTTATGTCAAGCAACTGCGGGGCCATTTTCATCGCCGCCTGGATCACATCTGACGCAGGAAGCCAAAGGTGCGGAAATTCGCTGGGCGGCGTGGCGGTTGATAGGAAAAACATGTTGTAGTTATGGCCATTAACAGCTACAGTTAAGGCCCGAGTTATACCAGTTATAAGTACTAAGAAAACCCCATTTATAGAATGTATAATCCCATAGAAATAACCAGTTATAACTAATAAATGGCCATGAAAACAGGTATCAATGGACATATAACTCTTTTAACTAGTTGATTAGTTGGTTATACATGATTAGAACTCCAATTATATCTGCTAGTTTGGCCACAACTGTGGGCAACCTGACATTTGTGTGTGTGTGAGATGATACTGGTGGTATAACAAATGAAGATGGGGAACCCAATATTTTTCTGAAGTGATCATTGATTATAAATTGTGATATCAACCATAAAATGGACGCTTTACCAGCATGAAATGAGAAGATATGGGTACAGCCGCCAAAATTATGATGCATATTCACTTCTCTCCCAGTAAAGTCCTCTACAGCTATGGCCCTGAAATACCAGTTATAAGTCAGTGAAATAGCACCATTTATGAAAAATACCCCGACAGAAATGAGAATCTAGAACCATAAGAACAAGAATAACTGGTAAAACATATGAGATCTAATGGTAAGATAACAAATAATATTATGGATATATCATTATATATAGCATTAACCATAACATATTTAACATAAATGGTTGGTAAACAAATAACTGTATAAATCCCTTTTCTCCAAGTCCTCCCTGTTCGGGGCAGATCCCCTGGGCCGGCTGGCTGACGGAGGCCAGCTGAAGGTCGAAACCGTTAGTTGGCAAGGCCTCATGGCTTTGATTTGGGGGAAGTATGGGGATATCTAAGGGATATGGGGAAATGTTTGTGGTTAATTGTTACTATGAAGGCTTTCTTCATCAATACAGTGGGAGATATCATAACCAATCATAATTGGATATGAGTGATTGATATAAGTCAACTTAGCTATTGTGGATGGTTGCGAATCCTGCGCCAGTTGGAACTATTAGATACCAATGAAACACTGTAAACAAAGGGATTGTAATCGGATAAACCATCTACCAACTGGTGCAGGATTTCTTCCATCCACCGTATCTAAGGGATATGAGGAATGTAGTGGTTGATGGTTAACATCCACGATATAGTGGTAAATATCATAGCCGTAATTGGATATGAATGGGATATGGATGAATGATGAATTGTTTATGGAAGAGAATGGTTAGCATGCTGATTTAACCAACAACGCCGACAAAAATAGTGGTAAAATGCTGTTATAAACAAACATAGAATTATAGATATATACAAAGTTGGACCCCCTAGATAGCTACGTTGGTTAATAACTCCAACAACTTTGGTTTACAGTACTTATAACTACAGTTACTGGGGCGAATCTAAACCAACGTTTACATTACGTTTTGGGGCTCCACATTGTAGTATCCTCTAGGGTTATCAGGCAATGTTATCCTCTATGGATATATTATGTTACCGTATGTATAGTACATATATACCCTCTGGTAAACAGCCACAGAACTATGGAGAATCACCATGTTCAATGGGTTTTTATCCACTATAAAGTAGCATTTTCAATAACGAACTGTTAGTCATTACCAGAGGCTAGTACTTTACTATTAATATACATATATATATATATATTATATATATATATGATCATAGATGAACTATGTCGTTACTGCGGGTATGTATAATGCAAGAGTCATCCCAATGGGATGTACACGGGACATCCCGGTGAGAGGTGTTCTTTAACTACCCACGGCTCGTGGGCTCGTGGGGTATAAGCCTAGGAACCTAAGTGAAGTACCCTCTGGTAAACTAACATAGCTATTGAGAATGGCCATTTATAGTGAGTTTTCCCATTCAAAAATGGTGATTTTCCATAGTTATGTTAGTTTACCAGAGGGTAACCCGTCACTTATCCTATGTAAATAACTGGGGTTATAACCCACTTACCCTCTGGTAAACATACAAAAGGCTATTGAACATGGCCATTTATAGTGGATTTACCCACTTATCCTATTTATAACCAAGGTTATAAGCTACTTAGCTAAGTGAGATGGGCCACCAAGTAACAGTTTGCGAACTGGAAAATGGCACATGTATCCTTGATTTGCCTATTAACTAGGTCAATCTTACATGGATACTTTAATCCTTTTAGTCTTTTGGTATTAATGGGCATATCTACTAACCAGCAAAGAATTTATTTTTTTGCAGGGTATCTAAGATTGGCAATGTTAAGGATGGTGATTTTCCAGTTCGCTTTGATGGTTTACCGGAGGGTCATGGTTAATATCAATTAATTGTGATTTGTACTATAATAGTAGCAATTGGAGCATTGATAATCACATTCCCCGTTCATATGAGAAACACACCCTACATCTACGGTCCCAAATATGTGTGAATCCATGTAAACCCCCTACTTAATCATGGTGTCCGGGGGAGGATGTTTTTACTAAGAGGGCGACGGTTTTGCAAAATATTGCATTTCAATGTATGATTTTTCATGAATATTTCATAACATGTCTGAGAGTGGTGATGGTGTGAATATCACTCAGTACATCTCAGAACCTAAACAAAAATGGAGTTAAATGTCTGGTTTCAATCGGTGGATTTGGCGGTGAAAAGTCTGAGATTGGATGGATATTTGCAGTTACAGTTAAGGCCCTTTACCAGTTGTAAGTACTTATAACCCATTTATAGAATTTATAATCCCATAGAAATAACCAGTTACCAGTTATAACTAATAGCCATGGCCATAAGTGTAATTGTTTACATGGATATACCCAAATATTTGATAGCCTCAGAGAATCAAACATGGGTTTGCTGGAAAATCACCCATTTAGTTCGATGATTTATGTCTATACAAGGTGGTGCCCCCCCAGTTATAAGTTGGTTTATAATCCCACTAACTATAGATATATCTACCATAAGTCCTAGTTATTAGAGTTATAAACCAACTTAGCTATCTTGGGGGCACCACATTGTAACAGATTATTATGTTCCAAACATATTTAATTGAAACTAACGTTATTGCCCTTACCACATAAGTTTATGGAATGATAACCATAAATATACCTGGTTTCTAGGGCTTCAACTGTACTATTATATAAATGGGGCTTTAACCTGCAAACAACAACGCAGTCGCCTGGGTAGTCGCCTCTTTCTCTGCGGGATTTCGCTCATGTCCTTTGCAATGTTTGCCAGATTGGATTCATTCTACAATTTCCAACCAATTGCCACTCAAACAATCTCAAACAAAATCTAACAATCTACAATCTCAAACAATCTCAAACAGTTGTTCCCCACTTGCCAGGTGAAGGTCTCTAGATCTTATCAGAGTTGCTCTCTCCTCATCCTCCTCCTCGTCTGGCAACTGCGAGCTCCAGATCTCAATGGGCACTGCCGGACATCAGCAAGACGCCAGAGAGAATGCCAGACTGCAGGCCTGAAAAGATATCAGATAGAATGCCAGATAGAATGTCAGAGTATATTATATGCCAGAAAGAATGTTAGATAGAACGTCGAAATAACTATGCCACATATACTTCCAGATGGTATGTCAGAAACCCTGTCAGAATTGTGTTTCAAGGTGGGAATCACTCGAAGAAGCAATTTATTTTTTATTTTACATCAAGTTTGGAAACACGAGGTGATCAACAGTCTATTTTACAATGTGGGGACCCCCAGTTATAAGTTGTTTTATAAGCCCCAGTAAGTATAGTTATAAGTACCATAAACCATAGTTATTGGAGTTATGTGAACCCCAGCTTAGCTATCGTAAACGGTGCCCACACTTTGTAGGAAAGTTGCTTTTCCCCGACGCTTCTGGTGGATGGCCCTTTTCATTGTCAGCCGTAAACAATTTGTCGGACTACGTTTGAGGAAAGAGATTGCAGACATCTTTACAGATCCTCCCAGAGGATACGCGGCGGCAGTGTGGATGAGGATCAAGAATCCATCAAAAATGTAGTGGGAAGCAATGACATACAATGGAATATAAGGGAGTATGATGGAACACAATGGAATATAATGATTGTAATTGGGGATATATGATATATATATATATACATTGTAAGCCAACAATATGATGTTTGGGTTTGTCGTAAAATGGGGAAGATGTCCTAAAATGCAAATTTTGATCAGGACGGTTTTATGTTTTTGAACACGTTAGTGTATTTGACGGCTTGATCAATCGAGCACTCACCATGTCCTTTGCCAGACACCTTCTGCCTTCTACGCAAAGTGATTGCACTGGAGAACGTGGACAGCTGTGGTGTGGACAAGCGAAGTGTGGTGCTTGGAATGCCCCAAACCCTGCAGTTATGGCCATTTATTAGTTATAACTGGTTATAAATGGGATTATACATTCTATAAATGGGGTTATAAGTACTTATAACTGGTCTAACTCGGGCCTTAACTGTGGCCAAAACTGGACACCTGGCCACCGGTCTGGAGATGTCACCGATGCGTTTTTTAAGCGTTTCCTGGGCGAGATGCTGGCCGAGATGACAAAACATAGAAAATAAGTCACCCTACTTTGAACTAAATTCTGTTTTAATCTAATTTAACTAGATAAGTTCAAATCAACATTTTCAAGATGATGTGTTTTTATCGAACTTAACTACAATAGCCGAGCTATAACCAGAATAATTTCAGGGTTCCCATGCTGTATGATCAACCCTGGGATTTTGGGGTATTTTGTTTTCAGACAAACTCATGGTTTGTCACAACAACACAAGAGGCACATCCTAGTTCACCAACCAATCGACAAATAGACCGCGGATCGCACACGAAGTGCATATCGGGCAGCAAACTGATCTTAACAACATGGACATAGGTCAAACAATAAGGCTTTATGATGCGCAGATCGTAGTCATGTTTAGTTGACCAACTAGTTTTTACTATGCACCCATGGGGTAATCAGTCATATTTTAAGCATTTTTAAGCTATCAATATGGCAGCATCAGAATACCTGCTGGTTACATAGAAATGCACCGGATGTTAGCACCTTCAGATTTTTTTGGTGGTGAATTTGATGAAGGCTATGGTATCTCTACCTACCCTTTTTATGTGTCATTCAAACATGACGAGCTGGAAAATTTTGGAACTAAACAGAGGTTTATAGCTGCAGTTAGGGCCCGAGTTATACCAGTTATAAGTACTTAGAAAACCCCATGTATAGAATGTCTTTTATCCCATAGAAATAGCCAGTTAGTTCACTAATAGCCATAGCCATTTTTCTTTGGAAAAAATCTTGGCTACATCCTGGATTCCCAGCAGATGATGCTGCTGATTGCCAGAGGCTACATCTCAAGAATGGTCGAGAGCCAAAGTTGGCTACACATGTGATCAGTTCTGGTTGGTGGTTTCAAACATTGGTTAAGTATGGGGTAATGATGGTTGATCATGGTTAATCATGGTTAATAATGGTTAATAATGGTTAATAATGGTTAATAATCACTGGTTGGTGGTCAGTGATGGTTAATACTGATGGTTAATAATGGTTAATATTGATTAATGATGGTTAACAATTGATGAATGATAGTGGTTAGTGATGGTTAATAACTATTAATAATGAGGAATAATGGTTCACTGGTTGGTGGTTTCAAACATGGCTTTTATTTTCCATTTCATATATGGGATGTCATCCGAAACCCATTGACGAACTCCATCATTTTTCAAGATGGTTGAAACCACCAACCAGAGTTTATCACAGTTTCTCTATCTATGTATATTCATGCAGATCCATGTGTATATCTGACATCATGTCATTGTATATCTACAAAGTGGCCACGAAATCGCTAAATTGAGGGCACATAATTCCAATAACCATGGTTTATGATACGTTAACCAGTTTTTTTTTAATAATCCAACAACTCTCAGTAGTTGGTAACGTCAATAACTTCATTTTCACACTGGTTTATGGTACTTCTAACAAACTATATAGTTACAAAGTGGGGCCCCCAAACGATAGCTAAGTTGGGGTTCATATAACTCTAATTTCACTATGGTTTATGGTACTTATAACGAGCTAGTTACTGATGGTTTTTGGTACTTATAACTATGGTTTATGGTACTTATGGTCTATGGTTTATGGATTATACTGTAAAACATTATAAAACATTATAAACCATTATAAACCATTTTAAACAATTATAAACCATTATAAACCATTATAATCCCATGGTACTTATAAACAACTTTCATATAACTGGGGGGTACCCACATTGTACTGATGGGGGTTATAAACCACCAACGTTCACATCGTGGGCGCCTCAAAAAGTTGGAAGTCCTCCAAGTGCTGGCGCGGGACATGTTCCTTGAACATGCAACGCAAGTGGAAAATTATATATATATATGTACATACTAAAAATATACTAACATATTAATACATACAGTCATAGTGACATATATAGATACATATACAATATACATATACTAATCATAATTTGTTTGTTCATGTATATTGACAATTATATCATATCATATCATCATTACATTTCTTAATCATATACACGTACATTGCACACATACACAACAATATATTTCCCGTTGGTGAAAATGCCGGGTGCCAAAAAAACACCACCAACAACCACCACCAACAAAAACAGGATGAAGATACTCCGCATGTCACCAGAGATGAGGTTGGGTGGGAGCTGGCGTCCGACCCAACCTGGGTTTACCTAAGGTTTAGCTACTTTTTAACCTCAAGTTTGTGGACATATTTTTTTTTGTTTAATTAATCTAGGTCAATCTTACATGGATACTTTAATCCTTTAGTCTTTTGGTATTAATGGGAATATCTACTAACCAGCAAAGATTTTTTTTTTGCAGGGTATCTAAGATTGGCAATGTTTTTACTTTATTTTAACCGTCACTGGACTATGTTTACAATGCTTGCGTTTTGTTATGGTGCATTTATTCATCAACAATATTTACGCATATGGAAACCATCGGGTCTAATATGGTCTAATTATCTATTTGAAAAATGTTGTTCTCTTAACCAAGCTGTGGAGAGTTGCTTTATAACCCCTTGAATCATACCAACGGCTAAACCTAGGTATTTGCCGCAACTTACTTAACGGGGCCCACCTTGCTACGATGATCCCACTTGACTCAGCCATCGTTGCCGTTGGAGCTCCATAAATGGTCTGGGTAAATTATTAGAGAGTATCCCAAGAAAATGCTGGTTTAATGAGCTTGAAAATCATTGGAGTATCATGGGATATATATATATATATACATATGTCTGGGTAAATTATAACAACCGAACCCTGTTCTCCCGAAGCCTGGAATCATGGTTTATGTCAGGGAAATCATCCCCATTCATGGCCGAACTATTCAGATTAGTGAATATTATAATTTACCCAGAATGGTTATCTGGTGGTTGGGAACATGGCTTTTACGACTTTCCATTCAGTTGGGAATTTCATCATCCCAACTGACGAACTCCATCATTTTTCAGAGGGGTTGAAACCACCAACCAGTTATTTCATGTTACTACTTTGGGGTTTTCATTCCATAACTTGGTCCACAACTGACTTGTAACTGGTGGCCACAAGTGTAGTAGCCACAGATATTTGTACACCACTTCCAAAGGATACCCTGATGTTGTAAGGTTGCAAGCCACACGCTGAAAGAAAACTGGAGTAAGGGAATTATTCCGAATTCTTCCGTTGTAGTACAATGCGAGGTGTCAAAAAGTGAATGCGTGAAACATCATCAGAAGATTAACATATCCGGACAACCTCTTCTCCTCATTTTTGGAGTTTCATCAAGGGAGAGTGACAAGGTCCCGATATCCTTAGGTTTCGTCAACATAAGCCAGATGTCCAAAGCATTCAAAACTTAGTGGACAAAATAATGACAAAGAATATATGATTATGCATGTTCTGGACATGAGTGTATCTAAATGGTGAATTCCAGGTGGTTATCACATTTATAATCATTTATATACATTTATGCCATTTGGGGGATAGCAATGCAAGGGTATACCTTGGCTGCTTGGATAGATCCACATGTCAAACATCAGCCCGAATCCTTTGGGTTCTCGACTGGAGCACGACAACGACCCTGGGGCTCAAGCATTGTGCAGCTACAAACGCTCCTGTGAAATAGCCAAGCCAAACAGCCATGCAGATGTCATTGAAGCTACCTGGCGAAAAACTCCGAACAGACTGGTTTCTGCTATTCGTTTGAACATGAACCACATGATGCCCCGCCTTATTTGGAATGTTTTTTCAACGAAATGACAAATTCTGTAGTTACACTAAAATAAAAGTAGATGGCTCAACTCAAAAACCAAAATACCCATAAGATGGCACCGCGCGCTGAGAGAGAAAACGGCGCTATTTTAGCTGGAACATAAAACGAGGTCCGCCAATTGAAGAAAAAATCGCCCTACTTTAAAATGAAAAGGTAGATGGCGCAACTGCCACTCCAGTAGATGGATATAAGGGTATTGTGAACTAAATTTACTACATTTCCTATCATTTTTGTTTGTATATACGGTGAAATTGCACGAATTTGTATTGTATAAAATGAGTTGCGCCATCTATGTCCCTTAAATCCCATTCAAACGCCAGAATCATTTTTTCGGTGAATTCAAAAATGAATTGCGCCATCTACGTCCCTTAAATCGTATACAAATCTTTCAAAATTTCAGTGCCACGCCTTAAAAATGAACCACTGAAGGTTTTAAAACTGATTGGGGACAGAATTGATGGATGTAAATTTCATTGTTCAACATATTTTGACAAACATATATTGGAAAAACACTTTTAAAAATTCATTGCCACACCTTGAAGATGAGTTTTCCTGAGTTTGCCAAAGGAAACTTGACACTTGGTGGGGTCCGTTTTCCGGGGCGAACCCAAGTGGAAAATTGGCACTGCGCTGGTTTCTCCCCATGTTTTTTCTCAACATCAAGCTGCCTTTTTGGGCATAGATGGCGCAACTCCCACTCATTCGCCAAAATCAGGCTGCAAATGCCCACATAGATGGCGCAACTCCCTCATATCTCCCGACATCCATCAACCAACCCAACCAAAATATGCCACATCGATCAGAGTTATCCCAAGACAGAAGGCAAAACCACCAGGAAAGACATCAGAGTTGTCCCCAGACAGGAGGCAAAACCACCAGGAAAGACATCAGAGTTGTCCCTTTTTGGGACATAGATGGTGCAACTTCCGTCATTTTGCCAGCAAAGGTCGAGACGCTTTAAAACCAAATTTTAACAGGTGACCTGAGGAACCGTTTCTTGACGGCAAAAACGGTTCCTCAGGTCACTTGTTAAAGTTGGGTTTTAAAGCATCTCGGCCTTTGCAGGCTCAAAATAACTTCCGTCATTTCGCCAAAATCAGGCTGGGAATGCCCACATAGATGGCGCAACCCTGGGAGTTGCGCCATCTATGTCCCAAAAAAGCAGCTTGATGTTGAGAAAAAAAATGGGGAGAAACCAGCGCAGAAGATTGCAAAAAATATGTAATTTTTAGGAACATAGATGGCTCAACTGCCCTGTTCTAAAGGGAGTTGAGCCATCTATCCCCCATTTTTTTTTGACATAGATGGCGCAACTCAAGATTCTGAGCCATCTACTTTTAAATTAGAGTATATGTGAAGATGAACAATCGATTTTCACATGTATCACCTACAGAATTGTCATCTCTACAGGTGATGAATCACCTACACAACTATTTTTTGTCCATCTCTACTTGCTTCAGTTGTCCAACGAGATCGTTGGTCCAAATTCATCATTGGTCCTCAGAGTCCACATGGATCGAAAAATTTCATCCTGAAGTAGATACCGTCTGGGAAACTAACAGTTCGCGAACTGGAAAATAACAATTTTCAATGGGTAAATCCACTATTTCTATGGCCATGGCTTCAATAGCTACGTTAAATTACCACAGGGTAGAATGTGGACTGCATTTCCATGAAAGTTTCCCAGTTTCATGAGGACTTGTTGAAGAATATCTCCTCCAGAACGTCGACTTAGTCCTATATTTCTTCATAAAATGGGAAACTCATCAAAGTGTTATAAACATATCCTCCTTGGTAAACTAACATAACTATGGAAAATCACCATTTTCAATGGGGATTCATCCACTTTCTATGGCCATTTTCAATAGCTTTCTGTTTGTTTACCAGAGGGTAACGAGATCTGGGATAAGACTCCCCAGACAGGAGTTTCTTTGAACATATGGTATCCCTAAATCATTTGGTTAATCATCATGTTCACCATAAAATGGGCAATCTTACAGGACGTTGCCCCCCAGTTATGTTTTTTTTTAATCCCCATTAACTAGTTCGTTATATCTGCCATAAACCATAGGTTTTATGGGAGTTATGTGAACCCCAACTGAACGCGATTTACCTCACTGGGGCACCACCTTCTACGGTACCAGAGTGACTATGTCTCAATTTCATCGAATCGAGGGACTGGATCCCCATTCCCTTGCGGCGGATTTAGGGATTTCGTTTCCACATCGTAATATATATTTTATATTGATTTATTTATATATATATATATTATATACATATATTTTTTAATGCAGTATATATAAATATATGGAATTATATTTAATTATAAATATAAATATATATATATATAAATTGTACACCTGTACAATCACAGCCATCATGATTTTTACACATTTATGTAACGGAGATGGACGCTTTTTGGAACCTTGGTCTTTTTATCGCCAAGTTGCTTCGATGCCGACCCGCCAAGGGAATCGACCCAGAATTTCTCTACAAACACTGCATTTCAACCAATTGAATACCTCGAATTGTGTAGATAGATAAACTGGTTGGTGCTTTCAAACATTTTTTCCATATATTGGGAATAATAATCCCAACGGACTAATATTTTTCAGAGGGGTTGAAACCACCAACCAGCAATAAATGGTTATTAATAGAGGTATACTTGCATGAATGGGTTTATAACTGACTTATACAAAGTGGAGCCCCCCAGTGATGTGAACGCAGGCATGCTATAAGCCCCAGTAACATCCAGTAACGAATGTTCGTTATACCATAAACCATAGTGAGTTATTGGAGTTATGTGAACCCCAACTTAGCGATTTCGTTTGGGGGCCCCACGTATTGTACATGTGTTCAGCAACCCCTTAGACTGGATATAGTTCATTGAAAGATGAACCATCAAATGTTACCTTGAGAGACACTGGCGAATCATAAACCTATTGAAATGGTCCGTTCATGGGCCCATGTTCAGTCACGTCTATATATCATATCATACCGTTGGATATATTTTGTTATTCCCATGATTTTCCCTTTCTGGCTGGTACATTCCTATTACTCATTATATATTCCCATGAAATTCTCCTTACATTCCCACACATTCCCAAAAACACATTCCCATTGTACATATAATATACATTTTCATATTCCCATCATATTCTATTACATTTCCATTATGTTTCCGCTATATTCCCATTATTTTGTGCCCACTTCATTATGTTACCTCCATGATATTATCTATTCCCACTATATTACAACTAATTATGTATTACATATATATATACATATTCCCGTATGATTGCCATGATATCCCTATTGTATCCTATTATATCCTATTATATATACATATCCTCAACTCATTATATAATTGAATTATAGT